GTTATATATGCACAATGGAATATTACTCAGCCATAAAAAATAATGAAATCTTGCCATTTGCAATGACATGGATGGAGCTAGAGAGTATTGTGCTAAATGAAATGAGTCAGAAAAAGACAAATAACATACTTCACATATGTGGAATTTAAGAAACAAAACAAACAAAGGGGGAAAAAAGAGAGAGACAAACCAAGAAATAGACTCTTAACTATAGAGAACAAACATTGTGGGATGGGTTAAATAGGTGATGGGGATTAAGAAGTGCACCTGTTGTGATGAGCACTGGGTGTTGTATGGAAGTGTTCTATCAGTGCATCGTACACCTGAAGCTAGTATTATTCTAACTGGTATTTGAATAAAAACATAAAAAAATAAAAAAGATAGTGAGGAGACATTAAAGAATCACTACACTATGTTTTTAGCTACATTAGTGAATCTGAACATTATTTGTGCAAAGCTGCTAGAATGTGATTCTAAGATCTCCAGTCATTGTTTCAAACCACACATGCTGAAGTCATTCTGTGTGTTAATCTGTGCAGGCCCCCTTCAAATGTGAGGCGATATGATTGGACAAAGACAATGTTAAATCCTGTATTCTTATACCTAGCTAGTTTGAGAAAGTATCAGTAACATAAAGGCATCTTTCCCAGACTTTGAAAGAAACCATACTATGTTTTATCTGTTTGAAATCAGATCAACCTTAAAAACTATACTGATGCATTTGGCTGGCATCACATAAGGGAGGTTTATAGGCTCCTATAGGACCTGAGGGGGTGTTAAACACCACATGCAATTATCTTTTGCAATGTTTACACTGAAAGATGGAATAGAGATATGAATATTTGGCAAGTTATATGTTTTCCTTTAGAGAATGAGATTAAATCAAATGCACACTCAGACTTACCAAAACTAACCTTTTTTGCTCTCTATTCTGATGCCTCCTTGACTTAGATCTTCTTTTAACCTAAGATGTAGTTCACAATGAGGGAATCATCAAGTGACATGTGGACAGATTGGACGCTTGGGTTTTTGCTTTCTGGGAGCTACAACTTTTACTGCATTGAGGCTCTGGCCAGCCTTAAGTAGCAGGAAGTGAAAACAATGGTGGTGCCTGCGTGGCTCTGTTGGTTGACTTCAGCTCAGGTCATGATCTCCTGGTTTGTGAGTTTGAGCCCCATATCAGGCTCACTGCTGTCAGTGCAGAGCCTGCTCTGGATCCTTTGTCCTCCGCTCTCTTTGCCCCTCCCCCACTCATGCTCTCTCTCTCTCTCTCTCTCTCTCTCTCTCTCTCTCAAAAATGAATAAACATTACAAAAATTATGGGCGTTTTTTACAGATCACATCATCTTACTAAAGGTATGATCATTAAGATTTACTAGTTATAAAACTGATCTCAGAATTATTAAAAATCAGAATAAAAATGAAATATTAAAGTCACAATTATAAATGAAATATTATAATTTTAATAGCATAAATAATTATTTTATAAGTGTTTTTTTTAATTTTTATAGTGCTAACAATAATGATTCCATTAAAAACACTGATTGCAGATTCAGTGTCTCCCTCTCTCTCTGCCCCTCTTCCGTTAGCACTCTGTATCTCTCTGTCTCTCGAAAATGAATAAAAACATTAAGAAAAATTTTAAAAAACCCACTGATTGCAGAGCAGTAGTTTGAAAATTCCATGTCACATTATTTCCCAATCCTGAACTTGATCACATACTTTTTATTAGTTTATGATTTGCTATGACCAAATGAGTAATACCTACCTTTTTATTTTCGTGTTTTCACTGGTTTCCAAGCTACCTTTTTTGACTGTGAGTTCTTTACGTATCTCCGTGGTGTGTTTATCTTCCCTTATTTCCCGTCCTTCTAGCACCCCAGTGTGACCTACATTAGTTGATTGACAAAGTGAATTTGAGGGTATTGGACTTGCTCTATTGCAACCCCTTGTCTATCTCAGGGCCCACCGAACCACATTGGTGCTTTGATTTTGGCCCATATTTCTACTTCATTATTATTGTTGTACATGATTCTTGTAATCTTCAACAAATACTTTTCTCCCTCCTACTCCATTTGATCTCTCATGCTTACCTTAGTGGAGAGAGCGACTTGCCATAGTTAAGAACTATGTAGTCAGACAGACATGGGTCCAAATTCTGTCTTGTCTTCTTACTAGTTGTATGACTGGGCAAGTTAATATTTTTAAGTCTCAGTTAATTCAGTTTCCTTCAATATAAAGGACAGCTCACCAGGGTTATTGTGAGATTTTGGAAATAAAGCACTTAGCCCTGCCCTTGGTACGTGGTATTCAAGGGAAGCTTGGTAGTCACAGGTTTGAGAAGTTAGTGTTGGAAAGGGGAACTAATTTCTGTAAAAATCAGGAAAGGACAGGTATTGTGTGGTAATAAAGGGATGTTTTAGGAGGTAGGACAGTTGAAAGAGCATATAGCATACAGTTAAAAATAATAATGTATATAAAGTTCTTATCCATAACTCTCAGGTTAGATGTGTTTTCAGAATTCAGAATTTTGTAGATTTTAAAAGGTATGTATATTTCATATATTACATAAGATCTCTAGCAGGATATGGGGTAACATTCTTAAACAAATGGATATTTATGTAGGAAACACTTATATACGGATTTTTATACAGAAGTATTAGCCTCCCATCATTATCTCCCATAAATTCAAGTTAGATAGTGTCACCCAGTGAATTATGAAAAAACGTACTGTTACAATTTTTGAATCTTGGGGTTATGGATAAGTGTTTGGGGTTCTGAAAAATAAAAGGAGATTCTGCATTTTCTTATTGTGAGCCAAAAAGTACCATGTGGGTGTTTTCTGTGTTTCCTCAACATGAGGCCATGGATACTTTTCTTACTTCCAGTACCCATGGCTCATTCTCCTTCCCAGATACCCTTGCCAGTTCACTCCAGATTTATTTCTTCTGAGAATTAAGGGAGGGAGTGAAATACAGCTCTCTCAGTAGGAGTTTCCTTGTTGGACATGGAAAATTTAGGTCACATTGAGAAATATTTCTTTTCTTTATTCCTGAAATTTGTTAAGATGTAAAGTGTATAATAATATCTGGGGAGAAAAAGACGTTACAATCAGTCTCCATTTCTTCCTTTGTGGTTAAAAGCCATGTCCTCTGAAATATTTTAATTCAAAAAGTATTCGGCAATATTTGTCTTTAGATGTGATATCCTAACAGTTTTAGACTATGCATATTTTACCTTTTTTGTCTAAATACTTAGGAGCTTTTAGAGAAAGATATATTGTCTTATTAACTGGTTGACGTTGCTCTTTTTTTCACTAATGAGGATCTATATGGATTTTCAGTTCATTCCTTCCTATCTTCTATTGACTTGGGGAATTTGCTATGAGAATGAAAGTTGTCATTAAATCATAGTTTGGTCATACATAACTGTTAATCAGAATTGATTCTACTATTTTATTTTATTTTTTTTTAGTGTCCTACTAAAACCAAAGCAACATTTGGTGTCCACCTCAAAATAGTAGGAGACTGGACAGGTATGTAGAATATAGAGTTTTAAGATACATGCTTTGAAAATAATGGGTCATATAATAGTTTGCATGTGTTTAAGTAATAGAACTACCAACATATTTAGATGTGTATATGTTCTCAGGCTGTGGTTTTGTTTTCTTTCTTTGCTTATTCAGTTTTGACATTCACATTTTCTTTTTGTAGGATGAATTTTTGCAATTCAAATACCTTCGATATCAATAATTGTTAATAATGTATTGTTTTCTCTGCAAATCATTGGTTTCTGCCTACTTGTCAGATGCACTGGCAATAGAAGGAACAATGAAATGCATGTTTTAGAAAACATGATTTTAAAATTAATGGTTGGTTTTACTCTCAAAATAATCAACACCTGCGATTGAGATCACATAAATTATGTTTCAGTTCTTATATGATTTACCTATCATGGTATCGTGGTATTACCTATGTGTACATAGCAATTCCACGGCATCTTTGGAATAATGGTCATTTTTAATAGCAAGTCTATTGATGGATGATATGTTATTTATTCAATAAAAACTTTTGTGTTATCTGAGAGATGCATTGTATTAAGAGTTCTGAGTAAATAAAAAGAAACATTCATTCGTCTATTCCCTTGGTTCAACAGAGTAACTGACAAGTGAGTGCTCAGTATATATTAGTTTATTGGCTAGTTGTTTAGTTTGGTTGCTCAAGGGAAAGGATGTAGGTATAAACATGAATGCAAGTATAAATAAAAATATTTTCAAATAGAATGCTAAACTAGGAGTTGGTTTGTGAAAACTACAGGGAATCAGCAAAAGGTAGATTCAGTGTAGTCTAGGGTTATAGGAGCTTTACAGAGAAGATAGTATTTGAGCCAAACATTGAAAATCACACAAGTGAAGTAGGTCATTTAAGTAAAATTCACAGCATTGTCAAAAATCAGAGAAGGTAATGAGTAAACCATATTTGAGAAAGGTGTGTCAATCAGCTTAGCAGAAGCAAAGATTTTGTTCTGGGGAATACTATGGAATATCCATTTAGAGTCAGCTTGGTAAAGATTTTGAATGCCTTAACAAGATATTAAAATAACTTAGAGGTGCTAGAGAACATTTGAAAGATTTAGAGCATCATAAAAAATAGTATTTAATAATTTGCCAGTTGGATGGGTTAGAATCAAGGAAAGACTAAGACTGGAAAACAGAGAAGAGTCAGTGGGGAGGGGTGGGAATGGGTACAGGACTCGAAGGAGTGGTTTTAAAAGCACAGGTTTGGGAAATTAGCATTGGAAAGGGGGGACTAATTTCTGGAAAATCAGTAAAGAACAAGATATTGTGTAATAAGAAAGGGATATTTTAGGAAGGACAGTTGAAAGAGCTTATACAGTTAAAAAATAATAATGTGCATAAATTCTTTGTCTATAGAACAGGTAGCCAGCTTGGAATTGGAGACTTAATGAAAATGGAGAAAATATACAACATAGTATTTAATGGGAAAACAATGAAATTAATCAAAAGAGCTTTGAGCAGTAATGACCTATGGAACTGTGAAACATCAGGCTTAAGTATAGTTTAATACAGTCTAGCTCCATCCATGTATTATACCAAGTGAAATAAGTCAATCAGAGAAAGACAAATACCATGTGATTTCACTCATATGTGGAATATAAGAAATAAAACAGATGACCACAGGGGAAGGGAAGGACAAAAAGAAAGAGAGAGAGAAAGGGAGAGAGGGAGGGAGGGAGAGAGAAACCATAAGAGACTCTTAAAGGTAGAAAACAAATTGAGGTTTGATGGAGGTTTGGTGGAGGATGGGTGATGAGCACTAAGGAAGGTACTACTGATGAACACTGGGTGATGTATGTAAGTGATGAATCACTAAATTCTGTTCCTGTAACAAATAATGCACTGTATGTTAACTAAAATTTAAATAAAAAATAGATAAAGTTTATTTTATTGCATTCAAGAAAATATCATGATACCTTATTAGAAAAACACTGGTGTAAAAGAAAAGAAAGGAAAAGAAAAGAAAAATGCTGGTGTAGTATGAAAATAGTAATTCTCATGATAAGCCCAGAACTAGTGGATATAATCTCAGCTGTTTTTCACCCGTTTGACAAATAAAGAAAGAGCAAAGTTCTTCTCTGGTAAGAATCCCAATAAAGTAAGAATTAGCTTCAGTAACGAATGGTAATCACTTAAATTCCAAAAATTAAGGGCAACACATTGAAGATATAATTGAATTTATCATGGTAAGAAGAAACTTCATGACAGATTATTACTGGCTATTGTTGTTGAGTTTCTTTATAAAGTTATTTTCTATTGTCAGTAGCTCATTAGAATAAATGATTATCTCATCATTTATTTCAATCTTTTCTATTAGGAACACATAATAGTTTTAATTTTATCTTCCTATTTTATGTACTGTGCCATTGAGAGAGAAAACAGATCATTCTATTCAGAGTTTAGTTCCAGTCATATGCTTTTCAATTAATAGACCTTCTTGGTTGTTGATTTTAAATATTTGTTAACTTGGAAAAAAATGTCAAGCATTCATGCATAGAACCCCTAAATAATTCTGCCACTATCTGGCACTTTAGTTCAAAACAAGGTTTAGCTGCCTTAAAACAATGGAATTATGATTATGGAAGGAAAACTGGGGACATTACTCTTAAGATCAAGGATCATTGGATTTGTTCTAAAAGAATTGACTAAACTCAGTATTAAAAGCAGTAGGGGTAGGAAATACCAAAGGGGTGTGTAACAAGTAGAATACCAGAGGTTTGCTTTTCCAAACTGACAGATATATTTTATAGTTACTTTTTCTTCCCTGAAATATGTTCTGCCCTGGGCAGGACTAAAGAACAGGTTTAAGACTGCCCCATGGATGATCTTTCTAAGACTAATCAATGATACCCAGCAGTAGAGTGACCAAGAAGCAATCAAAGTGGCTACATACTACATAGCACAGGACAAGTCTGGCTTTTTATTATTTATTTATTTATTTATTTATTTATTTACATTAAAAAAAAAATTTTTTTTTGCAACATTTATTTATTTTTGGGACAGAGAGAGACAGAGCATGAACGGGAGACGGGCAGAGAGAGAGGGAGACACAGAATCCGAAACAGGCTCCAGGCTCTGAGCTGTCAGCCCAGAGCCCGACGCGGGGCTCGAACTCACGGACCGCGAGATCGTGACCTGGCTGAAGTCGGACGCTTAACCGACTGCGCCACCCAGGCGCCCCTATTTATTTACATTTTAGAGAGAGAAGGAGAGAGAACATGTACGTGAGTGGAGGAGGGGCAGAGGGGGAGAGAATCATAAACAAGCTCCACACTCAGCATGCAATCTGATACGGGGCTCAATCCCATGACCCTTCAATCATGACCTGAAATGAAATCATCAGATGCTCAACCATCTGAGCCATCCAGGCACCCCAACTAGCTTTTTATTTTAACCAGGTCTCTGTTGTACTTCTGAAGTGTGGGAAGAACTCATTAAGTTTGGAAGACTCTTCAAACCTCTTAAACACATTTCAGGTTTTTTCTTTAAATGATGGGAATAGAGGGGGTAGAGTGAATTACTCAAGTGGATTTATCTTTGACTTAACATTTTGTTGCTTTTCTAGAATAAGTCATGCTTTCCAATTTCAAATGCATGGTTACAGATTGCCTATTGGCTTGATTACCATTCTGACTATCCAAAATTGTTTTGTTACTTTTTGCATTAGATATCATTACTATTGAATAATGTCTGAGATCATGTAAAACTATTGGGTATTTTAATGGCCTAGATAGCAGCTTACTCTAGAGAGGTTTAAGTTTTACTACAAAATCTTTTTATACATAATATATGCATTCCAATTAATCTGAAAATTTTGTCATTTTTCCATTCAGTAATTAATGGATTGACAAGTGGATAAATATGCAACAGAGGGCTTATTGTATGTATCACAGAACAGATTTTCCTTGAATCTTGGGTATTCATTTCCATATTGTCTATTGAAAAATCTTGCTACAGTCAGAAGATATGGTTGACTTTGAAGACTAAAAGTAGGAAAACAAGGCCATGTGACATCATGAATTTGCCTTGAATACATTGATACAGAACAAGTAACCTTACGGTTTTAGTTAAAGATTAGGCCAGAGAAAGAGGTGATAATTCTCTCTAGATATGTTTTATACTTCATCTAGCTGATTGTTTATGAAAAGATTAAAACAATATGTGTGATGTATTAAAAGTATTTTTTTTTTCATTTGGGGAGTTCTTTATAAATCAGATTATGACTGTATGAATTATAATAATGTTTTTATTGTATTAAAAGAATGGATTTTGAACAACTGTGGTATCCATCTTACACTATATGTATCTGTGAATGGCTTTTAATTGCTGTAAGAAAAGCAAAAAATTAAAAATACTCCTATTGAATACCAATACTATTTTAGAGAACATGCCCCCAAAAAACTAGATTCCAAATAAGTTTGAGTAAACTGACCTTTTTGAACAGCACAGATCATACTTGCACTTATGAAATAGCATGGTGCTACATAGTGCACCATGCTACATAGTGCATATTCACACAGTGTAAACTTTAGTTCAAGCCCAAAATAAGTATGAATTCTCAATTGCTGTACCTACAAAGGAGTGACTAGAAATACTCTTTTTGTTGTTGATATGACTAGCAAATTACAGTGGTTAGTCATTTGTGGAAAATAACATTTAGACTATTTGTTACTTTGGCTAATAATGAAATATAAACACCTACTGGATACCAGACACTGCACTGTGTCCGGAGATACAGAATTGACCAACACAGATAAGGTATCTGCACTTATAAGGACTATATTCTAGTCAGTAGAGATCTCCAGTACACAAAAAACCAAATCAATGTATAATATGTTAGATAGTGATAATGCTATGAAGAAAAATAAAGGTAAGAGAGTAAGAATGATGAAGGGTAGGAGTGCTGTTTTAGATGGGGTGTTTAGTTACATGCAAGGAGATGAGGGAATAAGTCAAGT